AGAGGAGAGAGCAGAGCTGCCCAAGACCCTGACTGACATGTACTCACACTTCCTGCTGGTTCAGATAAAGAAGAAAAAGCACAAATACTCTGAAGGGCATGGGACAGGTGTACAGAAGCTTACCAATGCTGACAGGGAAGTTCTTCTGAAGTTGGGGCAGCTGGCATTTGAACATCTGGAGAAAGAAAACATCGTTTTCTACCAAGAAGACTTGGAGCAGTGTGGTCTGGATGTCACAGAGGTCTTGGTGTACTCAGGAGTTTGTACAGAGATCTTCAAAGAAGAATCTGTGATCTTCCAGAAACCAGTTTACTGCTTTGTTCATCTGAGCATTCAGGAGTTTCTGGCTGCAGTCTACATGTTCCACTGTTACACCAACAGGAAGACAGAGGTGCTGCAGGACTTCCTTAGCAAAGACATCTCATCTCTGGAAGATCTTTTGAGCAATGCCATGGAGAAATCTTTCCTAAGTGACAGCGGCTACCTGGAACTGTTTGTTCGCTTCCTTCATGGCCTCACTCTGAAGTCCAACCAGAGACTCTTAGGTGGTCTGCTGGGTCAGACAAAGAGCAGTCCACAAATCATCCAGAGAGTCATCAACAACCTGAAGGAGATTAAAACTTATGATAAGTGTCCTGACAGAAGCCTCAACATCTTCCACTGTCTAATGGAGATGAATGACCTTTCGGTACATCGGGAGATCCAAGAGTTCCTGAAGTCAGAGAACAAATCAGTGAAGAAACTCTCTGGAATTCAGTGCTCAGCTCTGGCATATATGCTGCAGATGTCAGAGGAGGTTTTGGATGAGTTGGATCTGATGAAATACAACACATCACAGGAGGGACGACAGAGACTTGTTGCAGCTGTGAGGAACTGCAGAAAGGCTCGGTGAGTCCAGATGTGATTAATAATATAAATTAGAGTAGATTTATAGTTTAGTTCTTTAAATGATTCTTACTATAACATTCTCATGATTCTTTTTACACTGTTCCTGTTATTTATTTTATTTATTTATTTATTTATTAGAACCATTAAATGTCAGTTTAAGAGTGTCTTTTAAAGCTACTTAAATCCCATAAAAAACTATTTTTTACTAAATAATTTTCTGGTTAGTTAATTTTTTGCATGTCAATAGCTTCAGTTGAAGCAGCCATTGTGGCCACATGTGAAAAGGATGGGATAACACTGAATGTAGTCATAGTGACTTGGTTTCAGCAGTACAACTATTGCTGCGGAAACAGTAGCTGGTAGTCAGGCTGTACATGTGTCCTTGTGCAGTTGAAAATCATCCACCAAGTCCGCTTGTAGTTGAACACACAAACATTTATTTTCACAGTCTTGAGATCACAGTAGTCTGAATGTTCTTTTTTCCCCGCCTGTCCCGTTTGGCTCTTTTGCCATCAGAATTATTGTCTAAAGGCAAAGAAAGATGTCCAACGGATTTACTTTACCAAATGGACCAT